AACAATAGGCGTAATAAATCATTTTATTAGTTTGTGCTAAAAACCTCTCCCTGTAGATAATAATAATAATAATATATTTCTGCATTAGCAGGTACACGCCATTTTTACAGGCATGATCTACAATTTACAACATATACTGGTTCACAGTATGCATCCCAAGCAAGCTTGTTTAGTAATTATAATCTATAAAAGTTGATAGCAGTTCATTCGTTCAGATATAATGTGTTTTCATAAGAATAGTTTCCAAAGGGGCATAGCGTCCACGTTATATACCAGATCCAATCTGGACAAAAAGTGTATTAGGGTTTCGGTCGTGCTAAGTATTTATGTAATGCAGCTTTTTAAGTTTATAGTTGTTATAAAGTAGGCTTGTGGAGCGCCTGGTTCGAGCTATGACCTTGGGAAAGCGCGTTTGTCAAGCTTTTTCCAGATGTCAGAAGTTACATAGCTTCACCCTCAAAGCAAGATTCTGAAGAGAAAAAATAAAAGAGAAACCGAGGAGCAGCAAGGCATTTGGATATGAGCGATAATCAATGCTTAACATTTATTAGTGGAACAGTTGGAGGTATGATAAATTATTAGATTAAATTGATACTAGCTCATGTTGCAAGAGTAAACTGCGATTAGGGTCTCCAGAAGAGAGAAGGCAGTAATAAAGAACAATGAGTTGTTATATTTATCAAGGTGGAGTAGGTTCCAATGAAGGAGGGAAGTCATTGGAATGAGGAAGAACAGAGAGTGCATATAGAGAGTAGTGTTAAGTAAAATAGAAACCATATCCTTTACAGTCAGTTTTTTTCTTTTCTCATCCGATGCCTGCCACACAGTGTTCATGTAAAAGTCCGAGTTAGCATGTTAAAGGTTGTCTTAGTAGAATAGTTAATCCAGCACAAAAATTGGAAACATGAGTCTTAATGGTGAGTGTAGGTGAACAATCTCAATATCACAGATCTATTGACTTGTTCTCATCCATAAAGAGCCTGATACAAACAAAATGTTCTGCCCCACAAACACGGGTGGATTGAAATCATCGCCCACACCATCAGTGCTTGCTGGTCAGTAACTCCACCCTCCCTCCTTTTGTGATGTTAGGCTCATTTACGATTATTTTTTGGATACATATCATACCTCACACAATGCTCTGTGTTTCACATCCTGTTGGAAAACACTATTTCTATAAGTACCATGTTACAAGCTTATCAGGCAGTTACAAATTATGAACTGTGGGTAAGGCTTCGATGCTATGTTTTTATTGACTATATAGTGAAGTGTAGGTTACGAATCAGAGTATAGGCATTAGGAAGGATATAGTGTAGAATATTTCTTTACCATAGTAGGCAGAAAAATGGAGATTTATATTAGTTACAGATAAGGTAAGATAACGAGTGGTGAAATAATATTGATGGCAAGGCAACATAGTGTACAGATGAGTAAAAAACTGATAAATAGACAAGAAGTAACTCACACTAAATTCGCGTTGAGGTTGTTTTGTTCTATGCTAACCGGTTGATGGGTGGCAGTAGTCAGTCGATTGTGCGTTTCTTCTGGTGTTTTAGGGTATTTATAGGCGTCGTTTAGCGACCGAGTATTGATAGATCCAGTGAGTTGCCTGTCTACTTCAATTGAAAAGAATTAATGAGGGGAAAGTATCTAATACAACTACAAGGTAGGGAAATAAGGCGACTCAGTCTATATATGTAGAGAGCCTATGATGTCTGTGTGGGGCATGGATGTGTTCGTTTGCACCAGATCTATGCTGGTGAGGGGTTGATTAATGAGTCTTGTAAACGTATGTAATTTGTCTGCCATGCGTACTTCAGAAGGCAGACTGTTCCATATCAATGCGTACTTGATAAGGAAGAAGTTTTCACGTGTTTTTGATCTGTGTTTTTCAATTTTGACAGTGGATACTTTGTCTCGAAGGTTGTATCCATGTGAGTCTTGGTAGAGAGCTATATTACATGTGGAATAAGTAAGGTTTTTAAGGAGTTTAAAATAAAGAATTAAGTTAGACCTAAGCCTTCTTTTCCAGAGGGGTTCTAGTCCTAAGATATGGCATCTGGATTTGTAGTCAGTGAGTTGGTCATTCTTAAGTATTTTGCGAGTGAAGTCTCGCTGTATTCCTTCCACCTTAAGTATATCAGATAGGCGTAGGTTGGAAAATAAGAACGAGCAGTATTCGACGATGGGTCTTACGCAGGTTTTATACAGGATGATTTTAGTTTACTTTTGAAAGAAATTACGAAGGATGAAGCCAAGCAATCTCCGTGTTTGAGATGCTTTAGTTGAAATATGTTCAGAGAAGTTAAGACTGTCGGAGTAATGTCGGAGTAATCACTAGTTCATAGAATCAACCTAGGGGAATTAATTCCTACTCCTGTGAAAACCAAATCTATTTAGTAAAGCTAAGAGACTGGTATGGTAACCCAACATTTCCACAGATGCTGCTTCTAGTAGGAGACTGATTTAGTATCACAGTTATTTACCCCCGTTAAATCACACGTATCGACTCTGAAGCAACAAAGGTTTTGTCTTCTGCGTTCTCGTCTGTCCAAATTACTCGTTGTGACAAAGTAATGGGCAGCATCCTTGGGTAGCTGGCTGCCGTTCTGTGTAATATTACGACAAGCAACGTAGCAGTGCCTTACTTCCAACATATCTAGAGACCTCCTGAATGATACAGACTTCTGTTGGATATCTCTAGTACCATTGATGGTACAGAGTTAAATGGAACGCTATCAAAATGAAAACCTCCAAAATATTGTCTGTCGATCTGAGATATATTTGAGGCCTTTGAACTTACGGATGATGCTAACTTCTGGAGAGTAAGGGGCCAAAAATGCCAGGTGCAATCGGAGTTTGACAAACCCTTTACAAGTAACACATTTATAACCAAAGTATGCCAAAGTAATCAAATCAGGAGTCATAAATGAAGTGTTTCGAATATTTCTTTAGAAGGCTATCGGTATATCGGGAAGCATCCATTCTGAGCTGGCTAAAAGTTGCACGGGATGCCTAGCACAGGGTACCCACTTGTGATCTGGTTTGGATACAAAACCGAGCGCATTCGGCTAGGTGAGTCCGGTATAACTGATGTGGTCAGCATCAAATGCCGAAGACTTACAGAATTATTTACTTACCGCTACAAAGCATTGGTGCCGATGAATATGAGCTCTTAACTGGTGTACATGAGTTACCAGTGTTTGGGTCTGTAGGTTAGTTTCAGAAAGTTTTCTAATTTTATCAGTGATGATGATAGTCGCCAGTGGAAAAACACTTCCGAAAACTAAAAGATATGGGTGTAGTTGTAGTCCATGACTCTCAACTTGAACGCATACCGTGGCGTGCCAGCTGCTTACGGCGTTTACACTCTTGTGAACACTTCGTAGAGGTTTCCGGACTTTACACTTTAGTTCACCAACGATGATTATCTCTATCGAATGATTGTGGGCCTACTAAAGTTACAAGTGACGAACCAGGTAACTTTGAAGTAATGCTTTGATGTAGTCTACTTATATCCACATAAATAGTATATGGTGATGGTCGGAGATAGAATGTATTTTGGCAGAAGATCGATAACAAAAAGAACAGGAATGAAGAGCAATCGGTATGAAAATGGATAAACAATGAAATCAGGGAAAACGGACTGATATTTGCAGAAGGAACAGTTTTGATTGAGTCAATTGATTGTTATTTTGTAAACTAACTGTCTACTGTTTGGTTATCAGAATTTAGTGAGATAGTCTGTAGTTTGTGCCTGAATACATTCGATTGTCCCCACTCTTGTTCTTGTTCACTACAATACCTCGCGGTTAGTATCTAACGTGGATTACACTTTCAACGTATCAAATTACTATGGCTGCTTTGAAAACTGCATAACACAAAGGGTGAGATTACGTAAATATATTGGTAAGAATGAGTACAGAGATGTCACTGTGACCACCACTGCACGGGCCAGTCCATGGGGTATGATAAACTGACTGATGCGAGTTTGTCGTCCTTGACTTTAACATGGATCGATGATCTGTTTGATATTCAGTGGCCCAACTGCCAGATGATTTGGCAAGAGCTCAGTGACATTTCGCTGCCCCAACACACCCACCAACCTGAGCCGAAAAACAAAATTCCCCACTCAAACATACAATTTATCTGTATTTCAAGGTGTTCTATGACTATCAAGCGTTCGACAAGCAGTTGTGAACGGATGCCAGACCTCAATATTCTCAAAGAAGAGGGATCCAAAGGTCAGAATCTACTCCATTTGTTGCCAAAAGTGAGGTGGTCTAATATTGTTTATCAGTATTTTAAATAATGGTTTGGGCGATTCAAAGCTACGTATTCCGTTATACCTAAAAGTAATCATGTACAGTGACACCACAAAATTGAACAAAATAATGATAGGACTTCATTTTTCTCGGAGTGATCGACGACAAGTGGAATCAGCCTGATGAGTGAATGTCTTCGAATACACTGTGTCTTCACAGGATACTTACAGCAAGTATCAACACTAGTCAACTGACTTCTAGTTAGCGTTTTTTTAGCGAGTTGGTTTTCAACGGGATGGGGTCGCTAACCCCATGCCAAACCCTCCTCCTTTATCGGGGCTTGAGACCGACAGTAACCCCTGGAGGAGCTACAGATGGAGTTAGTCAAATGACTTACCATCCTTAATAATAATCACTGAAATACTAGGTCTCAGATCAATCACTTTATATTAACTACGCATGGTACCATGAAAAATTAATACTATTGAAGACCTGTGAAGTTTGGATTATGGGATGCTTGAGGGCATTTCTGGCTAGAACTCAATGAATCTAAACTTACAACACCACGACTTGGTTTCTTGAATGTTGAACAGTTTACATACGAACCTCTCGAAAATTCAGCGATAGGAGATCTCGTGTTTCATCTCAGCACCCATTGTCGCCTCTTTTCTTGTGCGAGAGGGAGTTTTGACAAGGTTGGTTATTTATATACACGAAACCACTGATAGAGTGCAAATGGCAAACTTACTATTCTGTTATAACAAGGGATGTGCCCAGAAGTTTGATCCTGAAGAAAATTCGGAAGGTAACGGTCTCACTGGTTGTTACCAGAGTTCGCAGATTCATGTCACTACCATCCTGGAGAGCCAATTTTTCATGATGCAAAAAAGAAGTGGTCCTGTTGCAATAAGTACAGCACAGACTTTTCTGAATTTCTTAACATAAAGGGATGCGCTGTAGGGAAGCATAACGGTGTCCCTCCAGATAACACTGTCAAAGAAAAGAAATCTGATTTTCCAACTAAAGTAAGTCATTAGTTCCGGCCAACTAGCTGTAGAAATGTCCCCGGGACAGAAAGTAGGATGATAGTACCTTGGAATATCTTGAGTTTTGTTCGCATATCATTCAATGGATGAAGTTTTGCAGCTTCGGTAGATACTTATTTAAGTCTTCAGTGGTAAGAGTAGGTCGGGTGACTTGTATTGAACTTAGCAATTCGTAGTGCCATGATCATCTTATTGCTGTTAATGTGTCGACACCGGGTGATGACACTCCGTATTTTGGTGGGGGACCCATAAACTCACGAGTCGGTGCGAAAAATGAGATCCGAAATATGTACATGCACTGTAGTGTCTTTGTTGGCACAAGTATCTATACTTGATTACCAATTGCTTCTGTTTCGGTGTATATTATATACCCACAAGCCTAACATCATAATAGATTTCGCTTGACTGACTTATTCGTTTGTGTAACGTTTCAATAGTGTTAATAGGTTTCAAACCTAGATGTTTAGTGTTCTACGTACTTAATAGTTAAGGCAGTATGAGTCAGCATAACCATGTTTTCGTCTCCTATCGTCTGTAATTTGTTCGTGATGTCATTTTGACCAAGCCGACCACAATTCAAAAGCACACTAGAAAGGATTCATTAGGACAAAGATAAGCTTACAATATTTTAGCTCCATATTTGATCGAAGTTTGCTTGGGAGTTATTAGTTGAAATTTTATTTACATTAGTAAAAGTGCATTTTCATTGTTAAATTCATTGGGGAGGTTAACTCTATGATTGTAGTGTTTGGGAGTGAAACAGACCATTGAACACAACTAGTAGTTTCAGGTTCTCCAGAAGAAAAACATCAGTCTTTTTTTAATGAAGCTCTTAACACTGGACCACTGTCTAACATTTAAATGGAGATCCGGTATTTGTTATCCCATGAAGTAATGTTTGTCTTTATCTAGATACCCGAGTAGCATGATGACTGTGATTCATAATCATCCACTTAAGGATTAGGACACATGATGCTTGTCCAAAACACTGTTCCTATACGTAAATATTTCCAGACAACCATACCATAGTGTTTCATATCGTGATCCTTAACCAGTATTCTTAAGACCATCATAAATACGTAATTCGTAATCTTTAGTAGATGACCTATTTAGTTGTCCTTTCACGCAGTCATTCAGTTTCATACACAGAATGAAACTAAACTGCACCTATCTGTTTATTTCGTGTTTTAAATTCAATTCACTAGAAAATTTCCCGTCAGTTATTTTCAAGGATATTTTTTTGTAGCCTGTTCCTCCACCTACGCCTGTAGTATCAAAACCTGTTGCATCCCAAAGGCCATCACGTACCGAGCCCACGCGTGATCTTCCACTTGAAGTTGCACCAAACCTTAGGTCAGCTCTGGAAGATTTATCACTAGATCCATCCTTCAAACCACTACAGAATTCTACGGTAGAAAATAAAAAAGGTTGGTTTGTCCGGAATTACCATTCATGTTAACTTCATATTACGTTTATTAATCCTTAATATCGCGAAACTCAAATAGTACTTACAAATAGTCACTACAGAAGATCAAGCAAAACGATAGTCATTCGTCAACCTGTAATTGAGTCGGAATGGGGCTAATATCATAAAGTCATCTTATTTCACATACCAACTCAATATATCTTATTATTATCATTCAAACACAAACATTGGTACAAGGAGGCATCACATATATATGCCCCACACAAATCGAATGATTTGTGTGAGGGCTGGGATACTACTCGGACACCCAAATCGGAACAGGTGGTTATCTTAGGAGGCCACACCCCTAGCCTTTGACCTAGAGGTCTAATCCACAAGGCAATCGAGCAACGTTAGAAGATGCTGTCTCATGGTAGTCAGTGACCAACAATAGGTTCATGTGCCTTTTGTTCACTCAGGATCCTGGAGTCCATGTGCACCATTGTTTTGGAATCAGGTTTTCCAACTCCCCTAGGTGGATCTTCCATATCCACCAACTCGGTTAAGGTGCCGGATATTTGCTTTTCGTCCTTTCAATTCCGTAAACAACACCCCCTCCGTGATTAAGACTTCCCTGTCAGTGGCCGTATACGCGTGGCAATGTGAGGGCATTTTGAGAGGGAGAGCTGACTCCACTCCCATCTGTAACAGGTCAATTAGGGACACTCGATATATCTAGGTTGTGTTTAACAACCAGTGATAATATTATTCATTCTTTTAGATTTTGTATGAGAGTAGACCAGTTTTAAAGTCTTTTTTACATTTACATTGTAAATCTACTAATCCTGATGATCTACCGTAATCAGTTTCATATTTAACCGTTATTTTTAGTTTCAGTGTTAATTAAATTCTTTGATAACGTGGATTATTTTATCATCCGTTGTTGTATACATTTAAGTAGTTCGAATGTACCCAAAAAGCAGTTGCCTCGGTTGTTATTTATTCAGTATATACGGTAATGTATCGAAAATCCAATGTTTTTCGTATTATACTGATCAATCTCAGGGTGATACTTTTTAGTTGTTGGTCTAGAGCGAATTCTGTCAATTAGGTCTGCAATATAATAAATAAGTTACTTGGTATTATTATGCACTTCATATGATGTCGGACATTTGAAGGCAGATGGTTTATATATGTCTGGTTTGGAGATTAACGTCCCCACCATCCATCACAATATCGAGTGCGTCTAGTTAAGCATATCATCCAGTTCGTTGCGTACCTCAATTTTAGTTTTATTTCGAGATATAATCTACCAAGATCTATGTGTAGGTAACAAATATACGTTTTCCACTCCTAACTTTTTACATAGCAGTAGATTGATGACTTACTAAGACTTCACTGCCCCCAAATGCCCTGGTACGGCCGAGAGTGGGGAGAGTCTGCTCTCCCTCTCGAAATGCTCTCATATGGCCACGCGAATATATAGCCTCTTCCAGAGAAGTCCTACTCACTGCCTTCTCGTGGCGGGGGTGTTGTTCACAAAAGTGAGAGGACGAAAAGCGAATGTCCGGCGCTTTACCCGGGTTGGTGGATATGGAGGACCCACCTAGGAGAGTTGGAAAACCCTGATTCCAAACCAATGGTGCACATGGGCTCCAGTATCCTGAAGGAAGGAATGGTGTATGAACCAGCTGTTGGTCACCGGCTACCATGGGACTGCATCTCCTTACGATGCTCCACTGCCTTGTGGATCAGATCTTTAGGTCAAAGGCTCCGGGTGTGGCCCCCTAAAAAACCCACCTGTTTCAGTCTGGGCACCTGGCCAGTATCACAGCCCTCACACAAATCGAATGAGATTTGTGAGGCGGATATTTATCTGGTGCTTCCTTGTACCACAATTTATGTGTTTAAATAAATAATAAAAAATAAAGACTTCACTATAAAACTCAGTACTCAGGTGCTGATAAGTATCTTGGACCTTAAACTTTTTTCTGACACAGAATTTATTGATTTTACGTGGCTACCAGAATCAAAGTAGATGAAGTTGAGATCTGGCATTTGACCTTGGCTTAGACACGGCGTGATGCAGAAGAGACTAAGATTGGATCATGTCCCACAAAGTTGATTCAGTAATTACAACCATAAAACCAATTTATTTTTAGGTTTAATAGTGTACTGTCATCGTTGAACTCGATTAGACTTATATTCTCAGATATACTGCTTAGTCTTGGTAGTTTAATGCTAGGCTTTCATCTTGTCTGATTTATTTTCACTAAAATCATAGCAGAAATGATAGTCTGCAGTTACGTAATTATTTAGTGTTCTAAATTAATAAAATATACGTCCGATACTACTGTGTTTTGAATGCTATATGTCAAAATAAAACTTTTTTCTCTATGTTAGGTAGTCCTTCACTTGGTACAAACTGCAGGAACACTTCATGCAAACAGGTAAGTCTAGGTGACATGTGTATAGCGCAATATGTTTGAATCGTATTTCTCAAAGTATACGATGTCTTATGGTTATGGCTATGGTTATGCTTCAGTCTGGGCACCTGGGCAGTATCGCAGCCCTCACACAAATCGAATGAGATTTGTGAGGCGCATATTTATCTGGTGCTTCATTGTACCAATATTTATGTGTTTAAATAAATAAATAAAGGTTATGGCAAACTAGTAAGTGAAACTCGAATATAAATAACGACTTGCAGTTAAGTTCATATTTAACAGGAATATTTCAACCGCCCTTTTGGTTGATCATTCATTTTTGTATTGGTGGGGATGCAGGTACATCCAGCTGACGACCCCCAAATAGGACGAAACGCGCGTCCTGGATTCCACTGCCATCCACTATCCATCTTTGCTTATGTTTTTAACACATTGCTCGCATATGTTGCGGCCACCGAACGAGTGGTTCTGAGGCTAAATGCCGGGTACTAGGTAGAGGTGGCATATTAGTCAATGATGTATTAAATTTTCATCGTATGCCCAACTACTACTTATCTCGACGCCCTTTGTCGGCCAGTGTAGGGGTATGTTAGAGGAAACCCAGTGATGACCAAACCAAAACTTGGGATCAGTCCATAAAGTCACTGATATTTAGAACGAGTCGTTTAGTATGCTCAGATCACTTGGTCAGGGTCTGCGCGATCATTGTAACTAGTAGTTGAATATTTTAGGTGATATGGCTTGTAATTGTTATTGATGACTGACTGACTGACTTACCTTTTTTTGTCACACTGACCAACTAACATTTTCTTTGCAGGTCTATACAGGAACAGATTCAGATAATGGACTCTGCTTATACCATCCCGGTGTAGCTGTATTCCACGAAGGGTAAACGCATTTGCTATCTTTTGTTTTTTATACGTGATAAACTCTTGAATATTTACGAGATTTCTTGTATTATGAAAACTGTTCTACAAGTACTAATCAGTGAATAATAGTACAAGTTTGTTGAAATCATAAATTACTGAGTACCATATTCCTTTTTCCCTATAGTTAAATTATTATAACTCCATTTTCCGGCCTTATAAGTAAAAACAATGACAGTTGTTTAGAACTAGATCAATCAACTTGTTTATATTTTCTTCGTACTAAGCATATAAACTAGTCGTTAAAACTTGAAAGATTGTGGATCAAAGATACGACTCAAAATGGTTTGTTTGGGGCATATATATTTGATGCCTCCTTGTACCAATGTTTGTGTTAGAATAAATAAAAACTAGCAACTTAGGAATATACCCCACTGTTAATGGTCATATTTCACATCCATAAGGTGGAAAAGAACGAGATACCAATCACTAGAGCGCCGAACAGGAATCTCCAACCTACTCTGTCATAGACTCTCCTTTACAGTTGTTCCACATTACTATTCATTCTCACTATGTTGACCTCCAATTCACGAAGCATTGTGTTCTTTGGTCTACCTCTTTTCCTTTCATCTTCAGGATTCTGAGTCACAGTTTACTTTGTAATGCAGTTTGATGATCTTCGTAATATGTGTTATATCCACCTCTTACGTTCTTACCTCATTTCCTCCTTAAGTGGAAACTGGTTTGTTATCTCCCACATTTTGTTGTTGTTGATGGTGTTTGGTCGAGTGATCTGGAGAATCTTGAATAGACAAGTGTTTATCAATACTTGTGCTTTTTTGATGCTAGTTGTTGTAGTTCTCTAGGTTGAGCAAGTGACAACCTTTTTGGAAGAAAACAGTACACTGTATTTGAAGAAAAGTGTTCAACATCTCTATTGTCTAATGTAGGTGTGCCACAAGGAGCTGTTCTTTCACTTTCTCTTTCACCTCTTCTCTTTTTTCTGCATGATCTGCCATCTTCCACAAAAAACACTTGTAAAATATGCGGACGACCTCACTGTATGTATGCCGATTTCTACCTCCTTACATCCTATAGAAATGAATGAGTTTTTGTCTCGTATTGAAAGGTGGTCTGTTGGTAATGGTCTCTTACTCAATCCATCTAAATGTCAAGCTGTTAACTTTAGCTTGAGACATGGACGGAACCTATACTCTATTTTGGGATCCCATAATGCTTGTGCCATTGGAGACTCCTTAATAAACACGGTGTTGAAGGTCAAATATCTTGGTGTCATTTTTTTCTCTGATTTTTCTTGGTCTTCTCATGTTTTACTCTTATCGAAAAAAGTTTACCGTTTAACATACTACATAAAGAGGCTGCATGCTTTTGGGATTACTCGCCATTTACTCTTACACTTTGTAAATTCCTGCATATTACCTATTATTTTATATTGTTCTCCATTATTCTTTCCCGGGCTTTTGAGAAAGGACTTTGCTGTTTTGCGTAGAGTGCTGAAGGCAGTTTCCAAGGTATGTGGTGAATCTTTTGAAGTCATTGTTAATATGCTTGTGGATAGACATCTTAAGTCTTGCAAACTCTTGGCAGGTGTTATCTTATCAGATACTAACCATCCGCTTCATTCATATCTTTCTCCTTGTATATCTTCTGGTAGAACGAGACGTAAATACATTAAAATCCATACACGCAAGCAAATCTATAAATGTTCTGTAATACCTTACCTAGCAAATTTACTTTTTGACGAACAGGTTGTTAGAGTTAACCTAGTCAAGAACCTGTATTCTTAAGTATGTCTCAAATTCGATAATTTGTACAAACTCAGATTTTCTTAAACTTTTTTTAAATTTCTGTTCTGTTTTTTTGTTTGTTTTGTCTCTTTTTTGGTAAAAAAAAACCTGTTGAAATAACTCGTGCTGAGAATTCTTTATTGTACCAGATTATAATATTGAATAAAGCCATTAATAATAATAATAATAACCCATGAAACTGTATTGTTCAAGCGAGTCTCCAATGAAACAGATATCAGTAGATGGGCTTATTAATCTGGTAAAGTGATATGCTTTAATCAGTCTCTAATGAATTAAGACTTACTTTTATATATATTACTATAATGTAGGGAGGATTTGAATGTGACCAACTTAGTCTCATTAGCAGTTGTGGGTATGAGAGCTAATATTACTTCCCGGCTGCCCACACCGTGGAAGGGTATTTCTTGAGAGACCTGAAAACGAAGTTGGATTAGTGTTAGTCTTAACGACCTGGGAGTGTGACCGCAGTGCCCAAGGTACAACTGCTTGAGGCCGGTCACATACGTCCTTTTTGTTGGGGATTTTTGACGTGTTAGCTTTGTTCTTCAAATGACCTTACCGCCGGAGACGGAAATCCGTGGGATAATGCGAGGTGTTCATTTTTAGGGTCGAACTTTTCTAACCCCACCCTCCTTATGGGAAGGCAGCATCGCTGTTATGCTGGTTGTCTGGAGGAAACATCTACTGCCGTCACACCTCTGTACAGTCAGCAGTACGAATTCGCCTTCGGACCTTGGGATTGCTATTTTTAGTCTTACCGCTCTTCAACCAACCTTTCTGGCATGGAAGGACTTTGAGGAACGATTGTTGCAGCCAGTATAGCTCTATTAGTTCATCACGATAGGTGAATCCGACCACCACGTCAAGGTAGTAGCAACGGTCGGGTATGGCAACTCGAACTGATGTATGTACGTACGAAGTTCTACTTTGTGACTGACATTACTATAAAGTTTAGCCAATTAATTCTAGGCATAACACTGAAAATAAAATTCTTTCGATTGTGCTTTTTTCTTTAAAAAATATATTCGTTTTTTCTTTATTTTAGACTGAAGTATTGGACTTGTTGTAATCAGAAAACTAGTGATTTCGATGCGTTCCTTAAACAGATCGGTTGTACTACAGGTCGTCATAATTGGACCGTGGAAGTGAGTTCACTATATATATTTATATATGTATATATAACATCGATGAAGAAATGGTTTAAAAAACCTTCAAGTGGTTTTTCGTTTTACTTCAGCTAATTGACATACATTCCACACAGAATAGATTGTTCACTGAAAAATCATCATTACAAAACGTTTGAACTATATCGTTGTTGATAGTCAAGACTGTATTGTAATCAGTCTTTGTTTATACTGTTAGTCTTTTGTGTAGATTCTGGCTAGTAGTAGGATCCAAAATCCATGTTTCATCTTATTCGGGATTCTTCAGCCGACTTTGCTTGCACTTCAGTGTTGCCTGTTCAAAATGATACAAATGCCTAACGTGTTGAATTAATTAATGACTACCTGAGCTCATTAGTTTCATAGATAATCAGTTGTTGTGTTTAAAGTGAATACTACTTTACTCAGTTCAAGTCACAATCTAAATATCAACATTGGGATAAAGATACATACTGCTAGTGAATCCTAAAAGACAGTGAAATGAGTATTCTGGTTTCCACTGATGGTTGGAAGAAAGCTAGGGGCGGCCAGACCAAAACGTGGCACAAATCCATGAAGACACTGACAATTGGACTAAGCCATGCTAGTAGGTGTAGACTACCTGGTCGAGATTCTTTAGATGATAGCAATCGATGGTTAGAGACTTTGAATGGCATGGCTCAAAATCGTTTGCAATCGCGAAGGTTCATCCACTCTTTGTGTTTTCCCGAATTCTAATCTTCCGAACTCTTCATGCCTCTATCTTTTTTCTCTTTTCAAATTTATTTCACTGTATTTTACTCCTTGAATAACATCTTCAAACCCTAATCTCTCACATAATGCTTAAACTCTTACTACTTCTACCACTATGGTATTTGAATAGACAACTGCATCTTTTTGCTAATGTGGTATGGCAACTCGAACTGATGTAAGTACGCGTGTACAAGGTTCTACGTTGTGACTGACTGATGGTCGGAATCTATTTAGTCAATTTTATCTTAAAAGTCTTAAGTTCGTCACTCAACTTTCCGATTATTTCTGCAAGACTTCCATATGAATCCTGTCTTTTTTTACAGAAGAAGAATTAATTAGAAAATTGTATTTCAACAAAAGCTATTCAATTTTATGAAGTAATAAGAACACTTCTAAAGAATTCTGTTGAAAAATAAGGTATTAATGTGTATGGCTTCTTCATAATCTACAAGGAAAACTTGTTGTAAGCATGTTATATTTACTGGAACAACATACTCTTGGTTGAATAAATGAATGATATTTAAATATATCAAGAAGCTAAGACGATCTTTTTATTTATTGCCTCTTATAGATAACTGTCTCATATTCGACATGGTTGAACTTCATTAGTTACTGTTTCTAAGTAGAACTCATGAAATTACGCCCCCACGTACCCTGGTACGGCCGAGAGTGGGGAGAGTCTGCTCTCCCTCTCGAAATGCTCTCATATGGCCACGCGAATATATAGCCTCTTCCAGAGAAGTCCTACTCACTGCCTTCTCGTGGCGGGGGTGTTGTTCACAAAAGTGAGAGGACGAAAAGCGAATGTCCGGCGCTTTACCCGAGTCGGTGGATATGGAGGACCCACCTAGGAGAGTTGGAAAACCCTGATTCCAAACCAATGGTGCACATGGGCTCCAGTATCCTGAAGGAAGGAATGGTGTATGAACCAGCTGTTGGTCACCGGCTACCATGGGACTGCATCTCCTTACGATGCTCCACTGCCTTGTGGATCAGATCTTTAGGTCAAAGGCTCCGGGTGTGGCCCCCTAAAAAACCCACCTGTTTCAGTCTGGGCACCTGGCCAGTATCACAGCCCTCACACAAATCGAATGAGATTTGTGAGGCGGATATTTATCTGGTGCTTCCTTGTACCACAATTTATGTGTTTAAATAAATAATCATGAAATTACATCTTGAAGTTATTCAATAATGGGTATAAAACTCTATACTGAAAATAACAATTCGGTTATGTTAAACTCATATTCAGCAATAATAGTCTATTCTTTGAACTCATACCAGTACGTAAAATGACTAGTTTATTATGACTGCTAAGTACTCATATGGCTTGTGCTTGATACTAGTACCCCCCCCCCCTAAACCTACTATGTATAGTAAGAACAAGGCTGATAAGGAATTTTTCGACTATGAAAATGAGATGTCAATACATCATTTTAAAAAAATCTAATTTACATACAGTCAGATTTGTATAGTGGGTTGGAGAATGCTGGTCAGTGGCCTATGCACCATTGGGAGTAACAGACGTAAGTAAGTAAACTCCGAATCGTATAAGTGGGATTGGATAGTATTGAAGATTAGTTAATCAATAATTTACTGTATGAACACACATTTACCAGTATTATACAATTGACAATCTACAAAGTAATGGATATAATGAATTGAATAAGCTATATAAATCATAGAATGTTAGGGAAATAATAATTTTATATGTAATTTTAATAGTTGAGATCATGAATCAATTGAAGCTAGACCATCATGGAAAACCTGGACGGCCGTTTCGTCTTATTATGGGACTCCTCAGCAGTGCACATCCACGATCCCACCTCGCGAGACTCGCGCACGAAACCGATAGGTCCTGGGTTCGAATCTCGCGAGATGGGATCGTGGATGTGCGCTGCTGAGGAGTCTCATGATAGGACGTAAAGCCCATCCATGGTGGTCTAGCTTCAATTGATTCATGATCTCAACTATTTAAATTACTATAATATCCGCAGAAAACCCCTTCTGATAATTTTATATAGTTTTCACAATCTAATTGATTAAATCTTTGCTCACCATATCACAGTTTACTATGACTGAACAGATAAAATATAGATATCACCAATACAAGAACAATTATTGTATTATTATTTAGTCAACGAAGTACAGGAAAGGCAATAAACTTTAGTCATTCATAAGTAGTAATAATAGTAGTATAGTTATGAAACATGTATTTCGCAAAGCATATATATATCTAATAGTTGAATAGAAAAATTGTGTAACCAAGTGAATTAACGAAAAGTTTTGTAATAAAACTTGTTATATATATGTATGTATAGTTTCATGTTTAGTTTTAATCATTAAAGCTGAATATTATTTACAAGTGAGTTCTTTCTCGTTTTTTTGAGTGAATGCAATGTTTAAATTATGTACTCTTCACTTATTAACTCATTTCGGTCAGTCAGTCAGTCAACTACAACGTAGGACCAGGCACACATATGCATCGGTCCAAGTTAACATAACTCATTAGCACAACAATATCAACACCGGATTCATAGAAGTAGTTAATTTAGTGGTGGTAGTATATAAAAGATAGATTGTATATAACGATATAGTATAGGATGGAAGACAGATATGAAGCAATTTTAATCTTAATGTTTAAGAGAAGATAATGTGTATACACCTACGCCATTGTGATCGATTCTGAGCCATGTCACACACAGTCTCCAACCATTGGTTACGATAGCCATGCGGACCCCAACCAGGTGGTCTGCATCTGCCAACATGGCTCAGACTAGAAGTTAGTGACTTCAAGCACTGATGCCATGTTTTGGTTTGGCCTCCCCAACCATCCCCTACACTAGTCAGTATAGCTCGTCGTGGTAATCGGTGTTTAGGCATACGTAACACGTGGTCTAACCATCTCAGTCGATGAAGATTCACGACTTCACCAACTGATTTACCATCATTACCTAATACCCTGTGTCCAACCTCACCTCGTGCTGAGAATTCTACATTGTACCAGATTATAATATTGAATAAAGCCATTAATAATAAAAATTTAAAACAATTACCCGGTGATCCCAGCAAATGCGAGGAATATTTCTAAGGCATCTGTGGTCAAATACTAGTAACTTGCGAGTATCTTCTACTCTTAATGGCCATGTTTCATAAAGTAGAACAGAACGAACTGCTGCGCAGTATACTCGTCCCTTAATTGATAGGTGGATATATCTTCTTCGCCATAGGTGATGTAAGTTGGCAAAAGCCAAACGAGTTTTTTGAATTCGTTCTGAGATTTCGTCAAAACGGATTCAAAAAGCTCATTTATACCAGGTAGATAGTTGGCTTTGAATGACACTTTATGTATAAAAGAATAGTAATGCTCTCTGTTTGCTCAAAGTTGAAATCTACAATTTTTAATAGTTAAAAGTTGAACGTTATAACGACTAAGTCCCTTCCTTCATACTTCGAATTATATCGCTCAATATATTTTACTTTACTGGGTCCACTTTACACTGAATAATATCTTCAAATCAATCATAAGTCTATCTTCATTATCAAACAAAATTTGATTCTGCTAACCACAAAGACTATCCTGGAACTTTCTATACTTTCCAGTACTCCTTTTTTGAATAAACACTTATGAATATATTTTCGTGAACAGTTTTCCCTTCTTTGTCCATCATCAAATGAATATATATATGGTATTTGCATTCGTTAGTTATTTCAACTAAATTATTAGTATTTTTTGAGGAGATTACGACATCACGTAAATCTGCGAACGAAACGAAGATTTAGCGACACAATTACTGGATAAGCTAACAATTCCGATGTGTCTCAGCCCCGCTAACTAGAGGGAGACGTCCAGGTTAGAAGAAAGGAAATATATTCCACAAGCAACCAGAAGCATGAACAAAAAGCACAACTCAAGTGTATATATATACAGCATAAAAATGTCCTTAGGAAATGTCCCAAAATAGCGTATTAAAAGAGACAACGAACCAATGACATTTAAGGTATTCCCAAGTGATGAATACAATATGGAGGTGAAAATGGGCGCTTTTGGTGCGAAAACAAGGAATTCAAATTTGCGAAATAAAATAACAAAAGTAAGACGTTTACCAAATGAGTCCTGAGGATCTAGCATCCCCAACACTCAATAATTCAACTGTTACAATACTATAATCTCCACAAACTCCCATTCTGATAAAATAAAATTACTTACTTACGCCTGTTACCCCTCGTAGAGGAGCATAGGCCGCTCACCAACATTCTCCATCCAACTCTGTCCTGAGCATTCCTTTCCAGTTAACATTCATCCTTTTCATATCTGCTTCTATTTCCCGGCGTAATGTGTTCTTTGGCCTTCCAGTTTTCCGCTTCCCTTCCGGACTCCAAGTTAGAGCTTGTCTCGTGGTGAAATCCGTTGATTTCCCTAATGTTTGTCTGATCCTTTTCCAAGGTCTTTTTCTAATTTCCTCTTCATCTGGAAGCTGGTTTGTCCTCTCCTATAAAACGCTGTTGCTGATAGTATCCGGTCAGTGAATGTTGAGTATTTTGCGTAAACAACTGTTTATGAATATTTGAACCTTCTTGACAGTGGATGTAGTAGTTCTCCACGTTTCAGCTCCTTACAGTAGGACTGTCTTGATGTTCTTACTGAATATTCTCACTTTGACATTAGTTAAGAGTTGTTTTGAGTTCCATATGTTCTTCAATTGTAGAAATGCTGCTCTTGCTTTACCAATCCTCGCCTTTACATTTGCATCCGATCCTCCTTGTTCATCAATGATGCTTCCCAGTTACGTGATCTCATGTTTTTGCAGTTTTATGGATCAAGTGACTCAGTAGTTCGGGCATTCATTTTCCAACCATACTATGTGTAGAACTCGATTCTAACCCTACCTACTTCAACTTGAGCCACTGTTTAGTATTACTTACCCTCTCGTTTATAAAGTTTGATTCGAAACCAACTAAACTGATTGATACTTAGTAACAATAATAATTGACTTTCAACCAATACGTCTTGAATATATTCAAGTTCCATTTCACCTACTTTGATTTGAGTAGTATTACGAACATTTGCAAAAGTTTTTGTTCATTTCTTCCTTTATTTTAATAGGATGCAAAATCAACCAATGCAACATTAACTCTACAACCGAATGCAAATTGTCGTTTTGATTGGTATCAATTTGGTGGTTGTGTTACATTAGATATTTATGCTAAAAATATATGGCCTGAAACCGTTACTATTAAAGTGAATCAAATAGTATTACATGTTTCATTAAAATTTGGTTTAGACTATCAAACATTTGAACGGGATTTCAATCTATACGGTGTAAGTTGTCTATTCTTTGATTTATTTTGTTTTTATGTTAGGACTGTAAAAGAAAGCAAACAATATTGTACAATAAGGTCATGTAAATATAGTTCTTGTTACACCAAATATTGTTAGTAATCAATCACTTATTGAATAATAAGTTTCCCCTTTATCCGGGCTTGGGACCGGCAGTAGCCCCGGAGGGACTATAGGCGGATTCTATCAGCCCTGATACTGCTGAGAGTGGGTAGAGTCCGCTCTCCATCTCGAAATGCTCCCACATTGCCACGCGTATATAACCTCTCTCAGGGAAGACCTACTCACTGCCTTCTCACACCACGAGTGTTGTTTACGAAATTGAGAGGACGAAAAGCGAATGTCCGACTCTTTAACCAGGTTGGTGGACACGGAGAGTCTACCTAGGGGAGTTGTGAAACCCTGATTCCAAACCAATGGTTCACATGGACTCCAGGATCCTGAGGGAACAAGCGGCGTATGGACCAATCGTTGGTCACCGGCTATCATGGAACTGCATCTCCTCACGATGCTCCACTGCCTTGTGGATCAGACCTTTAGGTTGAACGCTCCGTGTGTGGTCTCCTAAGAAATCCACCTGCTTCAGTTTGGACACCTAGAGAGTATCACCGCCTACACACAAATCAAATGATATTTGTGTGAGTCATATATATATATATATATATATATATATATCTGGTGCCCCTTTGTACCAGTATTCATGTGTTTAAATAAAATAAATAACTAAATACTACCCGACGTTTGTGCTGTTGATGTCGTTCAGAAGGACGATGAAAGCTCCACGATCAAACCATCCAGCTCAGAGAACAAAACCCCATCAAAATCACCCACCTAAGCTACAAATGTTCTTCGTCATCTCAAAATTATATTTTGTAGTTTCTCGTCAGCGGCTTACAACTAAATATGTATTAGAATTTTAGCTTGGAGATAAGAAAATAGTATGGAACAATTGACATAGGTGAATGTGCAGGATTGGAATGACAAAAAATTATCAATGATAACTATATATGTGTGCAAGAAAAGGTCAGAGGTTATTAGATGTTAGAATGAAGGAAGCATAAAGGGTGGGTAGTGTAATAGTTGAATGGAGTTCAGAGACCAATGATATTTCTTATGCTTTCAAAATGATCGGTTTGCTGAAGCGATCGCGATAAAAAAAAATCGGATCTATATATTCAAAAAGAGACAGTAATCAACTTATTACTACCCTGGTAATCAAATGATTATTAGTTTTATTTTGGTTACCGAATTCTTAAACCACCCTTTCACTCACTTGTTTCTCTTAAATTGTCTGAACTTTTCAAATTCTATTCAATTATTACGTAGCCCATTCTGTCTTCTTTTAATTCCACGAATCAATTATTGCCTGTAAAATTATTACACCATTTATATTATTTGCCTCTGAACTCCACTCAACTATTACACCACCCACCCTTTATGCTTCCTTCATTCTAACATTTAATAACCTCTGACCTTTTCTTGCACATATATATATAGTTATCATTGATAATTTTTTGTCATTCCAATCCTGCACATTCACCTATGTCAATTGTTCCATACTATTTTCTTATCTCCAAGCTAAAATTCTAATACATATTTAGTTGTAAGCAGCTGATGAGAAACCACGAAATAGAATGAATTCATATTATTCTGCATCAATAGTTGTTCTGGCGGTAATAAAGTTCATAAAGGGAACTAATTACATGAAATCCTTGATGATCATTAGTCTAATTGATTCAACATCGAATGCTTTGATAAGTTAGCTCTGGTAGCAATCAGTAAATCGTATCTGTAATCATTAACTCACTAGCAAGTACAGTCTCATGTGTCTGGTTTTCAGCCAAACTTTTTTTTTGTTTAAGGGCTAGGAGTACTATTCGGTTATCCAAATTGAGAGCGGATAAAGCTGAATGCAAACCTATGACTGAAGATTGAACACCTTAGCCACTGTTGCACATCTCTAATCTTAACGGAAGTAGTATTTTCACTATGGATGTTATAAATAAGAATCGCATAAATCCCACTTCATATTAGAAAAATCTCTTATCTAGAATTACCCAAAGTGTAATTCACAATGCAAGTAGAACATCACTATATTTTGGTGTTCTTTCTTTGTTTTGAATCTTCCCATTAGTGTTTAGGACTTCAATTGATCAGTCTGTTATTGACATATGTCTATACTGCGCATATTGCCTAGATATAACCTTAATTCAAAACAAACAAAACCAAGTGAATATAAGTTTCATCCCATTGCACAAGCAAGTCGCCATCATGACTCAGTAGCTGAGTGGATAAGGTAATGGCGTTTAAATCGAACAGTAGTGTTCGTGTCCCCAGGGTGACCACCAACTCTGAGATGTAGGTACATCCAACTGACGAGTCCCAAATAGGACGAAACGCCCGTCCAACTGGATACCACTGCTAGCCACTATCAATTTTTGCTTGTAATAATTTTTGTATATTAATGTTGATTTCTTTCTTTTCTACACTTTTTTTTCAGTCTATAGATCCAAAACAATCCATTGTTAAATTAATGCCATTAAAAGCTGAAATAATTTTAAAAAAAGCTGAACCAATAACATGGCCAACACTTGAATCTAAACTATTAGATCATTCAGAAATGAATAATAATAAAGAAACGATTGAAGACAATTCAAAATAATAATGAAATAAAATGAAATGTATTTCTATGCTTTATTATTATTATTTAAATAAGAAATATGTTTATTACAATGATTATGTAATAAAAAAATTGTTATCTGTGTTACTATGTAACTTTGGTTTTTTTTTGTTTCTAACAAAACAAAATTATTGTCAGTCAGTTAGTCACAACGTAGAACTTCATACATACGTACATCAGTTCGAGTTGCCATACCACATTAGCACAGAGATGCAGTTGTCAATTCCAATCCTATAGTCAGTCAGTCAATCAGTCACAACGTAGAACTTCGCAAGCACGTACGTACATCAGTTCGAGTTGCCATACCATATTAGCACAGAGATGAAGTTGTCGATTCTAATTCCATAATGGTACAAGTAGTAAGAGTATAAGCATAAATATATAAGATTAGGGTTTCAAGATGTTATTGAAGGAGTATAGTACAGTGAAATAAATTTGGAAAGAGAAAAAGATAAAGACATGAGGAATTCAGAAGATTAGAATTTGGTAGAACACAAAGAGTGGATGCATCTTCGCCATTGCAAACGATTTTGAGCCATGTCATTCAAGGTCTCTAACCATCGGTTGCTGTCATCTCGCGAATCCCAACCAGGTAGTCTACACCTATCAACATGGCCCAGTCCACTTGTCAGTGACTTCATTGATTTGTGCCACGTTTTGGTCTGGCCACCCCTAGCTTTCTTCCAACCTACTCCTACACCATGAAACATTGCACGTCGGGGCAGTCGGTGGTCGGGCATACGTAACACATGTCCCAGCCATCTCAACTGATGAAGTTTCACTACTTCATCAATCGATTTGCCATCCCTACCTAGTACTCGTTTCCTAACAACTGCATTACTTACCCGGTGGTCCCAGGATATACGAGCAATGCTTCGAAGACACCTATAATCGAACACTAGTAGCCTACGAATATCCTCTACTCTTATTGGCCATGTTTCACTGCCATAGAGTAGGACGGAGCGAACTGCTGCACAGTAAACCCGTCCTTTGGTTGCTAGACGGATATCTCGCCTACGCCATAAATGACGCAAGTTGGCGAAAGCTAGACGAGCCTTCTGTATCCGTGCTGAGATTTCGTCACATACCAGACCACAAGGGCTGATGAGACTTCCAAGATAAGTGAAGTGGTCTACACGCTCAACTACTTCACTCCCTATCATTAGTTCAGGTGTCGATGCAACCCAATCCTGAAGTAACATTTTGCACTTCGAGGGAGAGAATCGCATTCCGAACATGCCTGCATAGTTGCTTATAGTGGTCAGAAGACTCTGCATGTTGTCAGCGTCTTCACCGAGTAAAACTATGTCGTCGGCGTATTCTAAGTCAACAAGTGAGCCTCCTGGTAAAAGTTCAACTCCTGGAGGTTTAGCTGATGAAAGTGCTATCTCTAAAAGTAAGTCAATGACAAAGTTAAACAAGAATGGGGAGAGTGGACAGCCCTGACGAACGCCACTTGTGGTAATCAGTTCTGATGACAGTTCGCCATAGGCTCTAACTCGACCAGTTGTGCTCGAGTAGAGAGCCTTTATGAGGTTAATGTACTTCTTTGGTACTCCTTTCAGTGACAAACATTGCCATAGAACCTCACGATCAACAGAGTCAAATGCCGCCTTAAGGTCAAGAAATACTACTATTGTGGGACGTCTGAATTTGTGTCTATGTTCTAGAACCTGACGTAGGGTGAATATCTGGTCTATGCAACCACGTCCAGGTCGAAAACCAGCTTGGTTTTCTCTAGTCTGCTCTTCACGAGCTTTGGTTAGGCGACCTAGTATTATTGAAGCTAATATTTTAGACACTATATTAGTCAAACTGATCCCTCTGTGATTGTCACAAGAGGACTTTTGTCCTTTCTTATAAACTGGCACAATCAGTGATTGGGACCAGTCAGATGGAATTACGTCCAGTTCCCAGATTCTACCTAAGACCTCAGTCAATCTCACTGCTAGTACTGGACCACCATCCTTAAAAATCTCAGGGGTCAACCTGTCAGGGCCTGCTGCTCTCCCTCGCTTCAGATTTCCCATAGCTTTTTCAACCTCACAGAGGGTTGGAGGACTTACATCAATTTGCCATTCAGGACGACTGGGGATCGTGGGTAATTGAAGTGTGGCTGAAGGCCAGTTGAACTGATCCCTAAAGTGTTCTGCCCATCGATCCAACCTCCTGGATTGAGAATGAATAATATGCCCATCTTTATCTGAGATGGTTTCACTGATATTCGGGTTCCTAATACCGGTTTCTTTAACGAGTCTGAATAGCTGCCTACTGTTACCTATTGCCGCTGCCTTTTCCATCTCTCTTGCTTTCGCTACCCACCACTGTTCACGATCATTACGTAGACTTCTTATAAGCCTGCGATTAAGTTGACTCCGCTCTTCGTTATGCTCAGAGCCAGGTGGGATGAGTTTACGAGCATCTATCAGTGCGGTAGATGCTGCCGAGATCCATTGTTTCTCCCTAACGTTATGGTTTACCTTATTAGCGGATATCACTGCTGATTCCACAGCTTTTCGGATGTCATTCCACGCTGCCTCGGGGTGGACACAACTTACATGGCTGCCTAACTGTTTTTCTAGTTGTTCCTGAAATATATTCTTAGCTTGCCTACCATTAAGTAGAACCCTTAGAGGCTTCCCTGCAGTGTCTTTCCTACGTCCAGTAAGACGCAGACAAATACGTGCTCGCACTAGAGCATGATCTGAATCTAAACATGTGCCCCAGAATGAGCGACAGTCTTCTATCGAGCCCCTCCATCGGTGGCTGATAGCGATGTGATCTAATTGGGTCCAACGTTGGGACGAATTCGGGGGTCGCCAGGTCAAAAGATGTTTTTCCTTATGCTTAAAGTTAGTATTTGCAAGAAATAGGCGGTTATCTGAGCATAGCTGCAACAGACGGTCGCCATTATCTGTTCTTTTCGCCATGACACCATAAGATCCACCCAGGTGTCCTTCCCTTTCACTTAGTTTACCTACTTGAGCATTAAAGTCACCTGCTACTATTACTACATCAGAACGCCTAGCTTCTCGGAGAAGGTCAGAAAGTTTCCTGTAGAACTCATCTTTTATATCGTCTGAGCTGCAGTCAGTGGGAGAGTAGGCAGAGACGACGAAGAGGCAACGACGAATTTCCCTATCTTTCCGAGTCCTTACTGATCCGTTTAGTCGAACAGCGCATAGACGACTGTCTACTGGGATCCAGTCTAAAAGAGCTAGTTCTGCCCTAGGACTTAATGCTATACCTACTCCAGCGAGGCCACGGGAAGCAGCGTCAGGGCTTCCAGATACACGGAGCGTGTATCGAGATGAAACTTTATTTTGATTAGGTGCGGTCAAATGAATGACACTACTCGGATCTTGTATGCGCGTTTCGGAGACGCAGCACACATCGATGGTGTAAGATTCTAGAGTCCTAGCTAAGGAAGCCTGTTGTCCTATTTGGCACAATGTTCGGACATTAAAAGTTCCTATATGTAGTTTAGAGCGTGGTTTCAGGAGACCAGGAATAACGTTCTGTGTACTCGAATCGTTTGCCCTAGCGGTGCGACGCGATAAAAGGACGTGGGAAGGGTTAGTCGAGGAGATAACAGAGTTATTAGGTGTAGGAAGGATTTGAAAGCGACCAACTTGGTCTTGTGTGCAGTTAAGGGTATGAGGGCTAGTATCACTTCCCGGCTGCCCACACCGTGGAAGGGTATTTCTTGAGGGACCTGAAAAAGAAGTTGGATTAGTGTTGGTCTTAACGACCTGGGAGCGTGACCGCAGTGCCCAAGGGACATCTGCTTGAGGCCGGTCACGCACGGCCTTTTTGTGGGGGATTTTTGATGTGTTAGCTCCGTTCTTCAAAAGTCCTTACCGCCGGAGACGGATATCCGTGGGATAAGGCGAGGTGTGCATTTTTAGGGTCGACCTTTTCTAACCCCACCCCTCCTTGTGGGAAGGCAGCATCGCTGTCATGCTGGTTGTCTGAAGGAAACACCTTACTGCTTTCACACCTCTGTACAGTCAGCAGTACGACTTCGCCTTCGGACCTTGGGATTGCTGCTTTTAGTCTCACCGCTCTTCAACCGACCTGTCTGGCATGGTAGGACCTTGAGGAACGATTGTTCCAGCCAGCATAGCTCGATTGGATCATCACGATAGGCAAGCCCGACCACCACGTCAAGGTAGCAGCAACGGTCGGGCAGAAGTAAGAGTTTAAGCATTATGTGAAAGATTAGGGTTTGAAGATGTTATTCAAGGAGTAAAATACAGTGAAATAAATTTGAAAAGAGAAAAAAGATAGAGGCATGAAGAGTTCGGAAGATTAGAATTCGGGAAAACACAAAGAGTGGATGAACCTTCGCGATTGCAAACGATTTTCAGCCATATCATTCAAGGCCTCTAACTATCGATTGCTATCATATCGCGGTTCCCAACCAAGTAGTCTACACCTACTAGCATGGCTCAGTCCACTTACCAATGACTTCATGGATTTGTGCCACGTTTTGGTCTGGCCGCTCCTAAATTTCTTCCAACCTATTCTTACTCCATAAAACATTGCAAGAACGTAGCTGACGGTTCAAGCTCAGTAGTGCTGGTTTGGCGTGCAATTGGCCAAGTTAGATACATTAAGCTATAGAGTAAAAAAAAACAAATTAGAATCAAGATTCTGACAGGTGGCCTGTCATATGATTATGATCAGCGTTCCTTCCAAACATCAAATATTTAAGAACCCCTGAAATGGTGGGATTGGATAATCGTTGCTCTAAATTGTCAGTTGACTGAATTAGGAGATATGTACTATCAGATGTGGCTTAATCATTAAACTCAGTAAAACCTGATGAGCTTCCGACAGGATCATCGGTGCATACTGCTGGAGAGTCCCATACTATGATAAAATACTTCTTGTCTCCTTAGCGATTTACAATAGAACCTGAAGTGAAGTCGATCCCCCCTGACGAATTTAAACGATGAAACCTTTCTTCCTAACTTGGT